TCCTCGGATGCTGCTTGGCCTGCTGTGTTCATCCAGCTCTACACCTTGTTATCTCAGATTCTCCAGCATCTGCAGTTCCTACTATCTCAGGTCTTCATTCGTTAGAGTTTAGAAGAATAAACAGTGATCTATTTGAAACAGACAACTTTCTGAGAGGGCTTGACAGGGGAGATGTTGAGAAGGTGTTTCCACTGATGGGGCCATCTCAAACTAGGGGACGTAGGTACAGAATAAGGGCACACTGATTTAAAACTGAAATGCAAAGGAATTTCTTCTCTCTCAGGATTGTGGATGTGTAGAATTCTTTACCCAGAGAGTTGTGGAGACTAAATCACAGAGTATTTGAAGAGAAGGGAGAAAGCTTTGGAACTATCAGGTAGTTGCAGGCCATGGGGAGTAGTCATGTTGGAGGATTGAGGATTGGAGAAGATCACCCATGATCTTATAGAATGATGGACAGGCTTGATGGTTTCTGCTACTATTTACTATGTTCTTACAATTCACAGACAAATTCTGAGGGCATCAACAATTTTGTATATCTTTCATAATAAAGAGAAATCCTGACATGATGGTGAGCTACAACATCTGCATGATATAAATGACGAGATTGTATAATATAAAACTCCAACCTTTATATCATGGTCACATTTACCAATTATGTTCAAGGCAATTCTTATTTGAACCAGAACTATGTGTGTTCAATAACCTCTCCTACAATATAAAAATGAGATGATTCCTGAGGTACGTGCTTGGTCAGAAGTTAGAGTTTGCTAATGGCCTCAACAAACATCCTGTCTTCATATAACGTATGCCGTAAATGCCTGCATATGCATTTCTGGGAAGATCAGCTAGAAGTGAAATCCAGGCTCAACTGCTAATCTCTCAAATCATTTAAAATAATAATAAATATAATTGAAAGGAATACATTAGAAAAACAACTCTTTATATAGAGGATGCTTCAAGTACGTATTTCCCTGTCACAAACTGTTGTGAAGCAAAGTGTACAAATTCTTTTAACATGTTGATCAGAAGCGATGGATGCAGATACAGTTTAAACAGGCATTTGGATAAGTATGTGAATAGGAAAGGTTTGGAGGGATAAGGGCTAAATGCAGGCAGGTGAGGCTAGTATAGTTTGGGAACATGGTTGGCGTGCACTAATTGGAACGAAGGGTCTGTTTCCAAGCTGTATGACTCTATGACTCTATCAATGATGCCTTCCGAATGACCTGCATGCCCATGAGCTATAACAGTGAAATGTCCCACTCTGATAGGGTGCCGCTGAATTTTGCTGCTGCTTCCTAAAACCTCAACAATTCCGATGTTAAAAACGAGAGTGGGATAGATACTTGAGTACATTCAGCTGGACTAAGGAGTGTGGCATTGATAGATGTATCGGTTTAGCTTGGGTTCAGAAACAGATCACTCCAAATGACTCCCTAACTTCTCAGAATGCTGAGAACCCTGACCAATTCTTTCCAGAAATCACAGGCTAAACATTGCGATTGCTTGTTTTGACAATGACAGTGTAGTAATGGCAATTTTTTGTAATTCATTGCAATGGCTAGTGCGCAGATTTAAAAGGTTTCCATATGTGGCTTTACTTAGTAGTTTTTCAGTCAGTACTCATTTGTGTATTAGCTAAGGTGCAAAAGATCAAGTCATTTCTTTTTCTAACTCATATATTATATGTTCAAATATGAAAATAAAAAGTATTTTGAAGCATATATTTAGTCCCAAATGCTGAATCACAAACGGCTGCTGGAATATGTAGCGGAAAGAGTGCTTGAGTCGGATCTCTATCCTAAATTAAGACAGAAACCATTTATAAATCTCTCACTGCAAGATTGCCCTTTTATGGAACAGCTAAGCTATAACTTAACTTATGATAATTTTGCTTTCCATTGCACTCTTATTGTCTTAGAGTCATGGAGATGTACAGCATGGAAACAGATGTTCTGGTCCAACTCGCCCATGCTGACCAGATAGCCTAAATTAATCTAGTCCCATTTACCAGCATTTGGCCCATACCCTCCCTATTCATGTACCCATCCAGATGCCTTTTAACTGTTATAATTGTACCACCCTCCACCGCTTCCTCTAGCAGCTCATTCCATGCACACGCCACCCTCTGCATAAAAAAGTTGCCCCTTAGGTCACTTTTGTCTTTCCCCTCTCACCTTAAACCTTTGGCGTCTAGTTTTGGACTCCCTGACCCTGGGAAAAAGACTTTGGCTTTTCACTCTATCCATGCCCCTCATGATCTTATAAACCTCTATAAGATTACCCCTCAGTCTCTGGCACCCTAGGGAAAATAGCCCCAGCCTATTCAGCCTGTCCCTATAGCCCAAACCCTCCAAGCCTTGTAAATAGTTTCTCAATGCTTTCAAGTTTAACATCTTTCCTATATTAGGGAAACCAGAATTAAACACAGTATTCCATGCGTTGCTTATTTGATTTTACTTTGGACAGGAAAATAAACATGAATTCAAAAAGTTCTTGAAATCCAATATGCTGCAGGAAGAGATTAACCTGATCACTTTTCAGTGATGAATTTGACTGTTATTCAGGTCTGTCTGAGAGAGAGTTTGGATTGAGTCAGATGGAACTGTCAGTTTTTTTTCAATGAAATAGCTTTTAAGCATTCGTGAGTTTAGTGGGTCGGTACATGTAGATTTTCCCCATATTGTTGAAGTTCGACCTTCGTGCTGAAATGTATGGTGGATAGTTGCTGATGGCCTGACCAAGCTACGATTACTTGGATGAAGCAAAATATCGTGGATGCTGAAGATTTGGCAGCATCTGTGGAGAGAATCATTTTGGATTCGAAAACTTAACTCTGTTGCTTTCTCTCTGCATTCTCCGTGTTTCTTGCAGATGTCTTGGAATGGTCTCCATTACTTGTGCTCTCTGATCAGAAACCTCCACTGTGGCCTTTTGCTGCTTCCATACTTTTAGCCCAGTTTTCAATTGGGTTATCACTCTTTCTACTCACTTTTCCCCAAACTAACTTTTCTGAAAAGTGGTGGTAGGGAGTTTGAAAGTGACATCATTTAGCACAGAAACAGACACTTCAGTCCAGCCAGTCCATGCCAAACATAATCCCAAATTAATCTCATTCCACCTGCCTGCTCCTAGCCCATTTCCCTTTGAACCTTTTCTATTCATGTACCTATCTAAATGTCTTTTAAATGTTGTAATTGTACCCACATCCACCACTTCCTCAGGAAGTTCATTCCACATGCAACCCACCCTCTGTGTAAAAAAAATTAGTCCCTCATGTCTTTTTAAAATTTCTCTCTTCTCATCTTAAAAATGTGCCCCTTAGTCTGGAAATCCCCCATCCTAATGAAAAGACAACTACCATTGACGTGATCGATACCCTT